CCGGAGGGCTGCGGCTGGCTCCTCGCCGGACCTGTGGGACAAGCAGAGGGCCGATTGCGTTCAGGCAGGACTTGTCGGCGTGCAGCTGCATAGAGGAGAAAACTCGGACGGCGAGCGCGGGGGGCGCAGGGCACAGGCACCCAGGGCGAGGGCGGGCAGTGCCCAGGTGCTCCCTGTGCACGTCCCGGGGAGACCGGTCTGGGCTTTCCCGGGCGTACGGGGTGAGGGGCACGGGCTCAGAGGTGACCCTAGTCGTGGTGCTTGTGCTTGCAGGGTTGTGAGTCTGTTCTAGGCGGTGTTGGTGCACGAGTACAAAAATTTGCACAATGTGCACTCCTGACTGAATTGTGGGGCTGTCAAAATGTATTTCTAGCTAGTTTTTTTTTTTTTTAACTGTAGAGGTCTTCCACTGATGTATGGAAGATGTATTTTCTGATACGAAGCCCACTTCTGTTCTCAGAAGACTGTGCCATGCAGTGAATTATATGCCAATTTCCTTCTTAGCAGGGTAGCCGTAAATTATGAGATTAGTGATCTAATTGTACATCAAATCAGAGAGATGGACTTCTTCTGCCTTAAAGCATGCCTTCATGTATAAGCAACAGCTAGGTATTTGCAGATAATATTTTCCAGTTAATATGTAAAGTACTTTTTGCCTCTTGAAGCATTTAAAATTTCCCCTAGCATAAGAATGGTTTCAGTAACCAAAAATGTAGCTTCTGTAATGCAGCTACCTTGCAAACTAAAACACTATTTCAAAGCTCAGAAGTCTACCTTAAGATGTACCTTGCAATTATGAAGGGAAAATTATTGCAAGCACAAATGAAGCTGTAAGTTTCCTTTTTTAGCTCACTACAAAATGTGAAATTTGTAATTCTTTTCCTTGATTTTAGGAAGACAAGTGCAATGTACCATCTGGAGAAAAAGTAGAAGAAGCTGAACAGCCCAGTGATATAGAAGAAGGAGGATTAGATCTCAGCGTGTCGCTCAAACCAGTCAGTTTCTACATTGCAGACAAAAAAGAAATGCTTCAACAGTGTTTCTGTGTCATAGGGGAGAAAAAGCTACAGAAGATGCTGCCTGATATTTTAAAGGTACTGAAATACACTTACATTTATATACTTTTTATGAGCTTGAATGTTTGTGTAACAAAGCACGTTTATCTCTCAAGCCTAGTAGACTTCCAGCTTAAAAGCTGCCTGTATATGTCTTAAATAAAGTTTATATCAAGTCTCTGAAAGTGAGACTTTTTTAAGATTTCATGTAGTTATTCCAGCTTACTCCTTTTTCCACTGCTCAGCCACTGCTGAACTGCAGGCTGCTTATTTTCATACCATCTGTACTGGCTAGTTAAATGCAGAAAGAGTTTCATAATTGCATGGAGTAAATTCAGTAGTGTTGTTCACTAATAAATATGCTGATTTGTTAATAGAAGTTTGATTTCTGTTCATGTCAGCTGAATTTCTTTGTATGGTATTAAATTAATGTCTGAAATAAGGCAATAAAATGCCTTCTTGATAACAGCTTCTGAAGCTGTAACTTCTGTGGACTTTAGTGGTAGTATTACTAGAGTTTTACTGGCTTAGAACGTATGCTTTTTGAGTCTTGTGAACTGCAGGACTTGGTAATAATAAATTAGGCTAGCAGCCTGTGCAGAAGAAGAGGTTGCAGGTGAAATGCCATTTGTATGATGTTTGTTAAGAGTTTTAAAATTTTTGTCTTTAATTTTTATCTTTATGAGTCATGTTATTCATATAAGTGAGGCAGGACTTCTTCATTTTAAGCATGTAATGAATTGCATACAGTCTCATCCATTTCTCATCTCTGGGAGAAGTCTGGTGTGGCTGGAGGCAATGACATTACTGAGTTTGAAAGGAAATTGCCTGATGGTGTAGAAACAAACCTACACTGGGGTCATGAATGTTACAATATACTCAGCACTTTCTAATTTTGGTACTTGTACGTGGTATCGTAGTTCATTTGAAAGCGTGAAATTATCACTTTATTTCACCAAGAGGACACCAAGTAGTATGAAAGATGTAAACGTAACTGGAATACCCATAAAATCTTTGGCAATGTGTGGTAGTATCAAGCATGAGAAATGGATCACAATTTACATATTTCTTATGTTTTCTTTATTATGATATACAACTGTTGGTGTGTTATCAATAGCAGTGTTTGCTTCAGTTGTGAACTTGGATTCAACAGCTGGCTCTGGTCTTTGCAGACTCAATTATGCAATCCACTTGCTCCTGAGTGATGGAGAATTAGGAGTAATCAGGGCTATGGTGGTTGTTCCGTGCTTCACACATACATCTCAGTATTTCTACTGCTCAGTGTTGCAGCTGCAGTGAAAACACCAAGCCATAGGTTAAGTAACTGATAGTGTGTATTGCTTAATTTTTCAGAAAAAGTGACACACATGCTGTTTCTAGTAGTTGTCAAAACTGAAACACCTACCAGGTGTTCTTCAATAGTTGCATCAATGCAGGTCACAATAGGGAAGGGACTTGCAATCTAAGTTAGCTCTTCAGTCAGCATAGTTGGAGTACTAACCATTCATAATTATTCTGTCATCAGAAATTTTCAGTAGCTTGTGGTCTGTCTTATCTGTCTTCTTAGAACTGTTCCATGGACGAAATCAAAAGGCTTTGCTTGGAGCAGTTGGAGATGTTATCTGAAAAAAAACTGTTGAAGATACTTGAAGGTATGAATGAAACTAGGCATGGCTGTACACCAAAGAACAGTCTGCCTCTAAACTGGACTTTCACTCTTTCACTCCGTTTCTAGCTACTTATATATACACACACACACACAAAAAAAGTATATATTAGTGTGTTTTTATATATATATGTGTATATATATGCTGGTTTTTGATCTTTTAAGCTTGGATGAAATTGACCATTGATTTAGAAGCTATTAGGGACACATTCAGAAAACAGTAGTATAAGCTTCTTTTCATTAGTACCCAAACTAAGAACAAAACTTTTGACTTGGTGGAAAAAACAAAGCTAGGAGTGTAGAAGTATTGTTTGAAATCCATTATTTCAGGTAAACTGACATTAAGTTGCCTCCTGGTTCTCTGCAGGGGAAATCTGACATCCTGCAATACCAGGTCAATTGTATTAGCAATTGCACTAGAGTATTTGGTTTAGTTAAAGGATTCTTGGTGGATCCCTCTGCTCTGCTGAGACACACGGTTCATGTACTTTGATTAAGGGTGTGATATTCCAGCTTTTCAGTATCTTATTGAACTTCCACTTGATATTTAAGGGCTATAGAATATATTTGTAAACGTATTACTCTCTTCTCAATTAAGTGGAACTCTTTGAATCTTGGATGCCGCGAAGTACCTTCTATTAATCCTGTCTCCTGTGCTTTATTTTTAGTGCCTATAGTATTGTACTAGCAATAGCTATTCTGGTTTTTTTGTAATACAGTGTAACTGAAATGAGGTTCTGGGTTTTGAGTAAGTCCAATTTTTGAACATCTACTTTAACTGGGAAAAAATCCACTTCTGCTGATTATTGCAATAGAGTTAACATTAAGAGTAAGCCTAACTATACAACATTAATTACATTACCTGCCTAAATTTTCATGTTTGAAACTGTGTATATCTAGGCAAGATTGGAGCTGATTCTGATACTGACGAGGAGGCAGATGGAGGAGACAAGACTGGAGGTGAATCAGTCAGTCAGTGAGTAAAAGACAAAACACTTAAAAACTTAATTTAAGAATACTGAACAATGCTGGGATTTTTCATGAGAAATGATCATACTTAATAAACCTGTGAGACAATTCAAGACAATACACCAGTGTTGGGCAGATTAAAGTACCTCTTAGTTGCTGGTTTGGTTAGTTCATCTAGATTAACTAAATAGGAACAAATGGATGGGAAAGGTAGTGATAGTAATCCAAATTTCACATTCTGGTCAGTATTTTTGATTTAAGAGAGACCCAGTTTCTGATCCTGTCTTTGATTCAGAACAACTTATGAAGTTATTGAATGAAGTAATTTTCTTTGATCACATCTCATCGTATATCATACAAATATACTAGAAAATGGAGCGATACTAAGTTAAGTGATGTTTCAGTTTTTCTCGTGCGATACAATTTTATACCCTCTGACACTATTTCTCCTGGGGTTCTGTTTGGAGCTGTTTTGTGACTCTGTCCTTCCCCCTTTGCGATTTGTTGCCTGTATGATCTGTGAATGGTACCAGTACACCCATTTATCATAGAATCATAGAATCATCAAGGTTGGAAAAGACCCTTAATATCATCGAGTCCAACCGTTAACCTATCCCTGGGGCAGCCTGTTCCAGTGCCTGACTACCCTTTCGGTGAAGAAGTTTTTCCTAATATCCAGCCTAAACTTCCCCTGGCGCAGCTTGAGGCCGTTTCCTCTCGTCCTGTCACTTGTTACTAGTGAGAAGAGACCGACCACTGCCTCGCTACAACCTCCTTTCAGGTAGTTGTAGAGAGCAATAAGGTCTCCCCTCAGCCTCCTCTTCTCCAGGCTAAACAACCCCAGCTCCCTCAGCCGCTCCTCATAAGACTTGTTCTCTAGACCCTTCACCAACTTCATTGCCCTTCTTTGGACACGCTCCAGCACCTCGATGTCCTTCTTGTAGTGAGGGGCCCAAAACTGAACACAGTACTGGAGGTGCGGCCTCACCAGTGCCGAGTACAGGTGCAAATGTGGACTAACGTGGACTAATTTTCTTATTTTGGACGTTGCCCTCTGCTGGCTATTTAAAAAAGCAAAATTAAAAATTCAAAAACTACAAAATACACTAAATATCAGGTCTGTCTACATAAAGGAGTCTCTGTTAAGTGATCAATGTTTTGTCAGTGAACTTCTAAATAGAATGAGAAGACAAACTTTTTGGCTAAGGAAGCCATGATAAATGCCCCAGGAGTTTGATGTCTGGAGAAATGATACGATTTTTTAAGGCCTAATTCAGAAACTCTCTACTGCTGCAAAATACATGAAATATTCTTTGTCTTAAAGAGATACGACAGGATTAGTGCTGCTAGATTTCAGGAAGGGAGCTCTGTGGCTCTAAGGTGTTTCAAAGCTACTGTTGAAGCATGTATTTATGACGCTTAGCTACAGTAGACTGAGTAAAGTCTTGCTTATATGCAAATAAAGTAATGACTTGATCTGGTAAAAAAAAACTAAAAGGGGGAAACTGTTATTGTCAATTAATGAATACAACCACAAAATAAGGAAAGCAAGCAGGATTTACCATTTTTTAACTAGAGGGTATCTGAAGACACTTAACCCATTTGCCCATGGCAAGTAGGAAAGTTTCAGGAAACCAGCATCTATAGGATCTGAATTGCAGTTTGAAAGTATACTGTTTTTACACTGTACAGGTAATATTCCAGGCGTAAGCAGTAAATAAACCAAAGTGAGTTAGTTTTGTCTGCCTTTTCACATAGCTGTGTTGAATTACACCAGAATTAAAACTGACCAAGTTCTTTAACCATTACTGCAGTTACCAAAAAGTGACAAAGCTAGGTCACCTTACATCACTGATGAGAAAGATGTGAGAAGTAACTGAGCAAAATCAAGAAGAAATTGTTTTTAAAAAAAAAGTAAAAGAAACTAAGAGATGTTGATCAAAGTTATAAAGCAGATTGCTTCCTTTGATGAACAGAATGGTTGAGGTGTCCCTGGTTTTTGTATCTCTGTCTTCATCCCGACAGTTTAATATTTCAGACCCCTCCAAACTGGTCAGGCAAGACATATTGGTGTAGGAATTGTGGCTTTTCTTCTTTTAATGCAGTGGGTTAAAAAATAGTATGCTACACACAAAGGTGCCATCTCAGAACCTTGGCTTAGAGGTTCAGCTATGTGCTAGCTTTAACAAAAAACAAAAAAGGAAAGCTGTTTGGATGACAGAAATAAAAGGGTACAAAGAAATAAGTGAAACGAGAAAAATTAAGGTTTTATGTTAATCATTAAGCCCAGGGCTCAGTAAGTAGCACAATATTATGCTTTTACAGCTGTAAAATGTCACAAGCCCTTTTTACTAAATAGGTGTAATCTTTGGGCATTTAGGTCAACTTTTTTGCAACCTGTGTGTAAATAAATAAAACTGCAAGTTTGCAAAACTTCAGAAAACTCTGTTTCAGCCAGAACAGCAACAAGTCAGTCAGTGGGCAGGGAGATGCAACAGTGAAGAAATAGTGAAAACTGCATTGCTGAGCTAAACTTTGGTTGTTTGTAATCATTACTATGTTTTTAATTATCATCTGAGTTTAAATGGGTGAATTTGTTTGCCCTTGGAAAAGACTTTTCAGAATGAAAAAGACAGTTTCTTTGTTTATATTCTGACTGTTCGATCTTCATAGTTTGTCTTTATTACTTGTGGTTTTCTTGTACATGACTACTTTTTTCTGCATTCTATTAATGATGCAACATTAAAGCTTTTTTGTTTTAAGTCTGACTTGTCTTAGTTGTTTTCATGGACATGTAAATGTGGAAAGGGAAAATGCGGATAGCAAGTCTTACTCTAGTCAAAAATCTGTTAACCAATTGAAACATCAGTTTATTTCTTTCATCCTTGTTCTTTAAAAAAAAAAAAAATCTGCAAACTTATACCTTCAGCAATATGGATATATCAATAGAAATCCAGAAAGCTGAAATCAATACATCTGAAGAAATTAAAAGTGTATCAAAATATGCACGCTTTCTTAAAACGGTATAGTTTGTACTGTGTCTTTTTTTCCCAAACTATGCAAATACTTATCTGTCTCTAAAGACCTGCTTCCTGTGTGTACCTTCTAAAAGTAGCAGGGATTTAGAGAAGTTTCTTCAGGTACAGGGAAGATTGCAAAAGTCAAATCTTTATCTGAAGCTTTTGAATAGTATTGCATTTGTAACTGTAGATTGAACCTGCATTTTTCTGATGCACATATCCTCATTCTGTCACCAGAATCGGAAGTCCTGAGGCTTTTCCTAAATTTCAGCTCTGTAGAAGCTTCAGATGCTTCCATTAGCATGTAAAACACTTTGTTATTTTGTCACCAGCTTCTTCTGAGTTAAACACTAGAAATCCTGGAATAAGCATGCAGAAGAACTGAAGAAGCAGGGCTTATGTTTGCCAATAACTGGAAATTTCTGTTACAATAGATACGCTTCATTACTTGTGAGTGCTGTGTAGATTTTTAACTATGCAGTTCTCAGATTTTTGTTATTGTTTCTGTGTTACTGTCTGCAATGGAATACTATTAAACCAAGATAATTGCTGTATACTGAGCTTCCAACTAAATGACAGATATTTAATTGAAAGGAGTTAGCACTGTCCTGCAAAACCAAGTAGGCATTCTTCCCATCTCATTCAAAAGGTATTAGCATGTTCCTGAGCTATTTCTTTCCTGTTCCCTGAACTGGCATTTTAAATACCCTCCAACAGAAAGATTGAAAGTAAATTATTTGCTGTAGTAATAAAACACATATTAAAAACAAGCATGCTAATATCATTATAGAGATCATATGTTCATGGGTATAATGTGAGTAAATGATCTTTTGCTTTGAAAAAATCTAATGTGCTTATTTTTTTCACTATGTGAACATTTGCAGTTAAGTATCTACTCTTTCAGGAATTTATAGGCTTTTTACTGCTTTGCAGTCATGAGTGCAGTATTTGCTTGTTTTGTTTTAGAAAGGTTAGCAGTTTAAAAGCTTGCCTTGTTTTAGCATGTTTTGCTCCTGGGTACTGGTCTGATCACAAGCATGCAATTGCCATCTGATATTTACCCCTCTAGGACAATTTGGTTATCCTCACCATTTGGAATCACTGAAAGAACAGGCTACATGAGCCACTGAACAGATACATTAGCACTTGGCATCATGTTCACTGTCTTCTGTTCCTGTGGTGTCCTCAGACTTCACCTGTAATTGGACTGATGGACCTTTCATAGCGCTTTAAACTATTGGATTAGCATCTGTCATTTGGGATACCTTTTCTGAGGAGCACTACTTCATATGGATTTTTTTCTTCTTTTTTTTTTTTTAAATTGCTTGCTGTTAATTATTTTAGTTCTCATTTGTCGTGGAAAACTACCCTTGGAACAAAAATTTGCAGAAAGCTTATGAGGACTTGGGACTTCTAGAAATATTTTTAGACTTGAAACTGCAAAGGCAAATTTTAATTTGGGAAGGTACATCATCTTTATGTCAGAGTAGCAGAGGTACTGATCTCCAGCCTCACTCCAGAGATTTAGGTGAATGTTTCTTAATGACAACTAAAAGCCCTGTAAAGAAAGGATCAACATGACTGTATCTCATGTTGTCAGACTGTCCTCTAGACCAGCATTAAGATATTTTTTTCTGTCACAAAACTCTTCCTGCTGCTCTCCAACCCCAGTTACTGCTGATGCTTGAAGTCCCACTCACTGGTATTGCAGTGCTATTTGTCTTAATCCTTAGCCATCCACTCCTTTGACCAGTACCCCTTTTCCTAACCTGTGCTGCTGTCTTACCGCACTCTGCATAATGTGCTGAAGTTGTGGTACCAAATCACCCTCAAACTCAGATTTCTTGGACAGCTATGCAAATTCCTGAAAGTAATAGGTTCTGTACAGAATCCACATGCATGAGCCCAGGTAAGCATTGCACTCCTATGGAGCATGGCAATATGAAAAGCTAGGATAGGGTAAATTCACAACGTTTGTCACCAACAGTTGTAGTTTAACCTCAGCTGGCAACTGAGCACCACGCAGCTGCTTGCTCACCCTCCCCCTCTTGCCCCAGTGTGATGTGGGAGAGAATCAGAGAAAAAAAAGTAAAACCCATGGTTTGATATAAAGACAGCTTAATAGGACAGCAGAGGAAGAGAAAATAATAATGATAAAAGAATAAACAAAACAAGTGATGCACAATGGAGTGCAGAGCTGTCATCACTGCCCCCTGGTCCCTCAAGTTTATTTTCTGGGCATGACGTCATGTGGTATGGAACAGCCCTTTGGCCTGTTTGGGTCAGCTGTCCTGGTTGTCCTCCCTTCCAGCTTCTTGTGCACCTGGCAGAGCATGGGAAGCTGAAAAGTCCTTGCCTGGCGTAAGCCCTACTTAGCAACAACTAAAACATCAGTGTGTTATCAATATTATTCTCGTACTAAATCCGAAACACTGCACTATACCAGCTACTAGGAATAAAATGAACTCTGTCCCAGCCAAAACCAGGACATCAACAAACTCTAATACTTAGCTTCTTTCTGCTGAAAAGAATACACTGTGCAAATGTTGTTCCATTAAAAAAAATGCTGAGTTTATCTCTTTGAAGAGTGACTTTGAACTTAACTGTCACCCTGAGGGAGAAGTCTCTTTAAAGACTGATAAAAAGAAGGGAGTTCTAGATTACTGTGGTTACTTACTGGCATGGCATGAAAGAAGAGTGATATTAAATTTGTATACTGTGCCTTAATTTTAGATTAGCATAGCTTCTGCTCTCATTGTTTGGAGACATGATGTTGTGCTACCCGTTCTTAAATCTATACTGCAGTATAGATAACTGGGAGAAAATACTTGTTACCAACAAATTAAACAAGGTTAACAAGTCGAGAGCAAAACTGAACTGTGAACTGAAATGCTTCTGCTTGGCCACAAGATGGTGCAAAATGCCTGCCTATTAAATGAAGTAGTGAGGGTTCACCAGCAATACGGTCCAATCTAATAAATTCTGAAAGAGTAAAATGTGCTGTAAAAGTACTTTTGGGTTCTAAAAATTCTTCTGCTGACAGTAGGTAGTCTTTAAAGGAACGTGGTTTTGCTGTAGTCAGTGATAGTGTCAAGGCAACAGGAGGAAACTTTACAACAAGTTTTGATGTGTGATTTTTCAACTGATAATTTTTTTCTTGGCTGTTAAAATAGGTGTAGGTAATTTCACAGCCAGTGTTTGAGCCATAGAGGTCACTCTGAGTTCTCTGTCAAAGAGGTGATTGTAATTCCTCAGTGAAATTTGGCAATGGAGCTCAGGGTGATACCACAGATGTGAAATTTCTTGCCTGGGTACTATTTGTGCAAGATCAGACTTTCCCAAGTGACACATTGCTGTCCAGTGCAGAGATGACTACTCAGTTCAAAATGATGAAGTGTATGTGTGAGGAGGGATGGGGTAGGGGAAGCCTAAGCAGCTTTTGCTCTTAGTGATAAGCAGGGTATATCACAACCTTATTTTGGTCAAGATTTGAGTGACTAAGTATAAAAAATTGTTAGAAGTTGCTTAAAAAAAAAAAAAGTAAAGTAAAAAAAAGTGGATCCTTCCAGATCTGTTGAGCAGTAACTGGTCCCAGATCCACTGCTCTCCCCAGTTGCTGGTACCCAAACATACAAGTCTGCAAGGTTTGCATCCCCACTCCAGTTGCCACTCAGATGTCCTTGTGCGCACAGACGTCTCTCATAGCTGGTGCAGACCTATGATCATCCCCAGTAGCTGGCACTCAGAATTTGGCCTTTGATCTTACAGTCTTGTCTGGTACCTGACTCCTAGATGTCTCATCCTACTTGCTGGCTAGACTAGCCTGAGGTTTGCTGATGAATTACAATCATCTGCATACACACTGATGTATGACATTGAAGTTCCCTGAGGAACTGTGCACATGTTTCATTCTGTCTAGTTTCTGGCAGCACAGTCCTGCAGGCCTCTACGACCTATGGTCCCCTTTGCAGTTGCTGGCACTGAGACACACACACATACATGCATGTATCCAGAGAATAGCGTCATCTCATTTGGAAAAATAGTTAGTATAGCAATAGAGTTCAATAAGAAGGCAGGACAGACTGTGGTGATCAGGTCCAGGGCTCAGCCAGACAAGCGTATGGACCAGCAACCTGTTTATGCTTTGCTGGCCCTTTATCTTCGTTTTTTCTCTGGTTCCCCCCATGCTTGTTCTTTCTCAATGTGGCTCAGTCTCTCCCTTTTCCCACCTTTGGTTTTACCTCTAAACATCCCGTGCTGCCTTACACATTCCTACACTCCCCTTAAAAACATCCACCAGTGCATTTTATGTAATCCTGAAATGCTCTTCCCCAGCATCCTATACAGACCCCCTTGCTCCTGTAGACAGTAACGCCCTTCAGCCTATAAGGTGATTTCTCTAGCTGATTGCTCTTACAAGGTTTCGTTCCCAGAAAATGGGCTGGTTCCTCGCCTTTCACAACTGTAGAAGCAACTGAGGCAGGGTGATCCTGCTGCACTGATGAAGTTACTAGGGGTCCTCTGCGTGCAGTTTTCCTCTGCTCCACACTGAGCCTTTGTGCTTATAGTGACTCACCATTAAATGCATAAGCTAATGGACAGGACAGTACAACGGAGCACTGAGTGTGATAAGCCTTGGCAAGTGACAGGAGAGCAAAACCTGAAATTTCTGGGAAGGTGTGCTGTGAGAGCATCATGGACAGATTTAGCTGGTGGTCTGTGCTCGCATCTGGCCTAACCCCACCCAGTAGTGGAGGTGGGTGGGGAAATGTTGCTACCCAGGAGTCTGGCACTGTCTCAAAGCAGAGGACCAGTTAGGCTTTGGTCCTAAGCTGTGGTCTGGAGCCTGGCACGGTGAGTGCTGAGGTGTTTCTCCTGGGCTAGGTTGTGCAGGCTCAGTGGAGTGGTAATGGGGGTGGGTCTCGGTTAACTCTGACCTTATGGGTGTGTGTATAAGTGGAAAACTTTTCCTCACAGCCTATCCTCTGCTCAACCCGCTTAACAAATTAAACATGGTAATGTCACGTTGTCTGGGGAAGATTGAGACTCTGGTTAACATGTCTGAAGCATCACATACAGCAGACCTAATTTTATTTGTTGAATTTCTGGGCTTATTTTACATCTAACAGGTGAGGGCTGTAATCCGTCTTGTAACACCTCTGGCCTTTGTAGTACAAAACTGATGACTGGAACAGAAAATAAATGAGCAAACTCTCTCTGTGAAGAAGCAAAGTTTAAATAATTTTCTAAAGGGGTTAGCTATATATACAGAACTTCCTGCTCAGCATAGCTATTTGAAGATCTAGTTTGTATCCATTCCTTCTCTTTCAGCCCTGCCTGGGAAGGGAAAGTCCAACAGAAATGAAAAGGTTGGGAGAATACTTCTTGAGTTGACCATGTAGGAAATCAAACTGAAAGGATACATATCACTGAATTCTGAGAAAAATGCATCACAGTAGTTTTTTATAATGGCATTGAACAGTAACATTTCTCTTGGTATTTCCTTACTTAAAGTGCAGAACATTTAAAAAGCTTTTTTTTCAGGTGCTCTGTGTACATGAAAACAGCTATGCATTCTCCTTAATCAATTATTGCATGCTACTATACACATTTATGTTGCAATGGGTACAAAAAGTGGGATAAACAGAAGAGTCTGTTGATTTGTAACCTTTGCTGCTACAGAAAAGGAAGTAGCAATCACAATAACTCTGTCTCTCTCAGACCAAGATGGCTAGAAGCATTACGGTGTTCTCCCTCCTGATGTAGCCATTTGACATCTGAAAAAAATTATGTCTTTGAGAGCATGGGGAAAATAGATCTGTATTCAATTTTAGGAAAAACCTTCAGGCCATTACTGAAAAATAAATTGTTAAAGTTGTTATATTTACATTTGTGATACCAGAATACTGCTATCCTTTTCATAGTGCTGTTTACTTCCTACAGGCAGGACAGTTGCATTGATTCCATATTGATATGTATGAAACCAATGCCATGCCAACATTCAGGGTAGGAAATTGGCAAGTCTACTGTCAAAATGCTCACTAAACACAGCAATTGAACTCTTCCTGTGATTCTGGGTCCTTCTGCCTTCCTTTATATTTCACAGTATTTTCACAGTTTATGTAACTAGTACGTGTGAAACGTCTGAAGGACATGAACATTTCACAAAAGTTTATCTTCCTTATCCCTTGTACAAAGCAGTTGAAACGTTACAGGTCAAGGGTAGAAATCTTTAAATAGTAGAAATACAGAAATGCAGATACTGAACACAATTTAAAAGTGCATTGCATTTCATTTTAGAAAGTGGCCCTTTGTGAAACTATGAGATTGTGATGTAGGAGAAGTGGATGGTGGTGGGGTGATGGTAACTTCATGAAAATAGCTTCTTAATTTCAAAAGAAAACAGTAAATAGTATTTGAATGAAACTGAAACTATATTTTTTTCAAATAATTTGTGTGACAATTTATTCTAAGTTTTAGAGAAAAGCTCCTAATATTAGGGAGAGGCTTCCAGTGAGGATTGTTACTCTGAAAGGCTGGGGTGTAGTGGAAATATTTGCTTTATCCTTGTGTATCGCTAGGCAAAGCAAAAAAAAGCTCATTCCCAAGTGCTTAGATTAGCATTCTGTGCATTCCTTTTGCCTTTATTCGTACTGTAGCTGGCCTGTTGGCCTACCACCACATGATTTCTTTAGTTAAAGTAAACGTTCCTTAGAAAAGTTCTCTTAAATTCTAAAAGATGTAGATTAAAATGTCTTCTTATTTGTTTCTAGACAGGACAACAGTATAGACTCTACTTCTTCTCTGAAAGAAGACAACCAGCTGGAAGGTCAGGAATCAAAACAAGGTATGTAGTGGATAAAGCTGAAATTTTGTTTTCTTGATGTTGGGCAGTGACTAATTCCAGTTTACTGATAGCTCTCTTCTGAACAGTAGCTGCAATCACAGAGAATCATCCTCTTAGAAATCATCTGGTGTAGGGTTACAACCTCTCCCTTGGGCCCAATTCCAGAACAGGAGAGGGGAACATTGAAGAAGACATTGTAGGAGCTTTGGTTTCTTAATTCTGTGACACTGAAGAGTTTTTTGTGGCTAGAAGCAAATTGCACCTCTTCAAAGTTTTCTAGTTTACCTTCTGGAACATGACTGAAGCTCTTGCAAGGCTCATTTGGCTCTTCATATCTAGTTTTTCAGATGAAGAGGAACTTCAGTAATTTCCATTTCTTGGTATATAGGTGATTGCTAATACTGCTATTACCAGTTGCTGAATTCTTTGAGAGTCAATTTTACTTTCTGTTGAGATGATCGTAAGAGTCTACAATACTCTGTTTTGACATTCATAGAAATCCATTATAATAATTGTTTGCCAAAAGACTGCTTGAAATTTAATAATTTTGTTCAGTCTTGATATATGATACCTTGCGTTGTTTGATTGTGCAGAGCTGAGGTCCAACGGAATGGTGCTTAACACCCACCACTCCTGATAACTGGCACGTTTTACTTGAAGTTAGTGCCAGTGGAAGTACAGATTCAAATCTTTGAATCTCTGAGGATGAATGTTTTGTCTTATATATTTGCTCTTTTTAAATGCAAAATGTAGTGGGTGAGACATTCAGGTGCTACAGTGATTGGCAGAATAGAAAATGCAAAAGCAGGTAAGTTAGTGGTACACATTTGAGTACCTGCTGCATAAGGAAACAGTTTTCTTAACCTGCAGCAGTATTTGTTTTATTCCAGTCATTAAATCAGCACCATATAGCAACTGCCAGTATTACTTTGTACATAAAGCACTAGAATTGTAGGCGTTTCTGTCTCAGTCTATTTATTTTCATTTTGACTAGCTGTGTACAGTAACATCAGAAATAGCTTTTCCAATCAAAGAATGCTGCAAATTCTTATAAGCTGTGTTTCTCTTCTGTGAAGATCTAACGTTATTTGCTTCCTGCAGCTTCTATTTCACAATTCAGAATATTGTCTAGAAGATGTCTCTTGGAATAACTTTGTGAAGCATGTTTTTTTTTCTGAAGTAATTACTGAGGGGAATTAAACACAAAAGTAAAGAGTCATAATAAAAGCTTTAAAACTTTTAGGAGCAGGTAGCTATGGCTTTGTGAGGAATGCTTTAAATGTTGCTTGTTGTACTATATGGAGTGACTTTAGAACTGACAGATTTCCTGCAGATTTCTTCCACTTTTGTATTATCAAAGGGAATTGATGACTGTTGCAGGTGATTGCTTCATTGTTGTTTTTTATGACTTAATCAACCAGAGTATCCTGATGGCTTTCGGCTATAACGGTGGCTTCACTCAAGATGTTAGCTTTAAAGAGCTTTTGAGAATATCAATATAAATGTAAAAATATAACTCTAATCAATCTGCTGAGCTGCAGCCTGTGATGCTATGGGGAAAAAAGAGAGAATGAGAGGATAAGCAGAAGTGGATAAAATAAAATTAAAAAACAGAATTAAGTGTGCTAAAATGATTTCGCAACTGTAGCTGAAGGAAGAAGTGAAAATTATCAAAATGAAAAAGATAATGAGAAATGCCAACCATGATCTTTATTACTGGGTAAAATTACAACTGCAAAAGAGGGAAATAAAGCCCATCAGCTAATTAAGCATCTTTAGGCCTATGAGCTTGTATGAACACTGTAGTATACATTTTTGGAGGCTCCGAATTCTGAATGGAACCCAAGGTGGCTTTGCCTAGCTTCCCGGTCCATACTAATTCTGGGAAAGACATGAATGACTGTTAATATTATGTTTCTGCTTAATATGTGACCAATACCAAAAGGAATCCTGTGGTGGGTTGACCCCAGCCAGCAGTAGGCAGTCACCAGCCGCTCAATTACTCCTCCCCCAGTGGGATGGGGGAGACTATCGGAAGAACAAAACTGAGAAAAACTTATGAGTCAAGATAAAGACAGTTGAATAAGTGAAGCAAAAGCTGTGCACTGAAACAAAGCAAAATAAGGGATGTATTCACTACTTCCCATTGGTAGCCACATTTTTAGGCACTTGCTGGAAAGCAGAGCCCCAGCATGCATAACAGTTACTTTCCTCCTTTCCTTGAGCTTTTATTGCTGAGCACAATGTTATATGGTAGAGAATATCCCTTTGGTCAATTGCTCATCTGTCCTGGCTGTGTATCCCTCCGAACCTCTTGCCCACCCCCAGCCTACTTGCTATGGGGTCAGCGAGAAACAGAGAAAGCCCTGAGGCTGAGCAAGCACTGTGTAGCGCTAGACAAAACACTGGTGTGTTACCAACACTGTTTCAGAAACAAATCCAAAACACTCTGCCATGAAGAAAATTAACTCCATCCCAGCCAGACGCCGTACAAAGTCAGTTTCTCTGAATTAGAATGAGCAGGCTCAGAAGTTAACTTTCAGGCTTTGAACTATGATCCATTGATGCACCTGTTTTTTTGATCCATGGAAATGCTGCTTGGTTGAGCAGCATGTTAGGTAAATACTGACTGATGCCATGCAGCAAGGCAGAAGAATTTCCATTTCCTAATCCTGTTGATTCCCACTTCTTTTGATCTTTCACATTGTGTCTTGCAAGGTAAAGTTGAAAACAGTGTTCAAAGTCAATTTGATAGTGTGGGAAGTAGGTAAAACTGCATCTGAAACTGAAACATTAATCTTGAAGTTACTGTTTCAGTAGGAACAGGGCAAAACTAATTAGGATTGAAGAAGGCCCTGGTATGTTCATCTCTTATGAGTACTTTTTACACACACTGCTGTGAGGAGGATTTTTCATACCTTCAGAATCATTTATGTTTTAGGCTTTCAGTTTTTTATTGCTTCAAAATCATGATTTATTTTACAAAAAAACAAAGACCAAAAGTTCTCTGTAAACTTTATCTATATAGCTTATCGTATGTTTTCCAGAGTTGAATTTACTTTCTTGTCAGCTTTGATCAGAACGTTGGAGGTGCCACATACATTAGCTGTATATGTTCCCATATGTGCTGTATTTAGCTGTATGATGGCCAGTTTTTGCAGTCCAGTAAACCAGTGTTATGAGGTAGTGGATTGATAACTATGTAAGATCCTAAATCAGGAATGCATTCTCAGTCAGGGTAGCATGCAGAATTCCTGAATCGGGACTTAAATGCTGTGACAAATCATAGCCTGTGATCAAGAGTGAATATCTGAATATCTTTTTTTAAGTGTCTATAGTAAAAAAATTTTTAATCCTGAATCAATAAAACCCTTGCATTTATGTTTTAAAATGTTACTATTGTTTATAAAACCAATTTGAGATTTCTTTTATCAGAAAAAAAAATATTTTCCCTCCTTTCCTCCCTTTTTTCCTGCGTTCCTGCCTTTTTTTGTTTTGTTTTGTTTTGTTTTTTAAGCAGAGAAAGTGCATTTATAGCTTTCTTAGTAGTCAATATTGATTTTTTTTCGCATCATCAGGAGAGCAGGAATATCATAAACCCCACGAAAAACAGGTCTTTCCTAAGGTTTTTCTGCACTGCTCATGAATTAAAACCACATGCATGCATGTACCAAAAGGCATTTTAAAATGTTTTAAAGAAGAGCAATATTCTTCTAAAGCCTTATTTGTCTTTCCTTTAAAAGTAAAAGTGGTCTTTTTTAAGGTTGTTTAATTAAACTGATTTTGAACAAGGAACAATTTAATTTTTCTAATCCATACTCTACTGCTAATCTTTGTACAGAACTTCCACCTAGTGTGAGGGGTTTGCACAAAAACTAAAGAAGAAAATAAAAATCACTATGTGGATGGGGGGGTTTTACACTTCACACTTGTGTTTTCAAGAAAAGTTTCACATTTTTTTTTGTTGCATTTTTAAATCTTTTCTGTATAGTAAGACACTGAAACATTCATAGTGTAAAACAAATATTTCTAAAAATGTAGTTTGAAAGATGCTTTACTCTTTTGAAAGGGGAGAGAATTATTTGTATTGGATCTGGAACCCACGTCAAAGGAACATTCTTATTGAGAAGAATTAATAAAAAAATATTTCCAGGAGTTTTCTAACAGTAAAACATTAAATGTGAAGATCTTGATCAAAAAAGCCAGTGATAGGAAGATAATTAGTTTGATAATTATAGTCTGAATGTCAGTAAGATTCTGATTGCCTGATATTAAAAAAGAGCAATTCACAGAGGAAGTACTTGCTTGGATTTCTGGTATATTGGTTATTTTGTTGCTGAAGGGCAACGAAGCTGTTGAAGGGTCTAGAGCACAAGTCCTGTGAGGAGCAGCTGAGGGAGCTGGGGTTGTTTAGCCTGGAGAAGAGGAGGCTCAGGGGAGACCTTATTGCTGTCTACAACTACCTGAAAGGAGGTTGTAGCAAGGTAGGTATTGGTCTTTTCTCCCAAGTAACAAGCGATAGGATGAGAGGAAATGGCCTCAAGTCGCACCAGGGGAGGTTTAGTTTGGATATTGGGAAAAATTTCTTCACTGAAAGGGTAGTCTAAATGATATTATGATATTGTGATGTGCAATCCTTGCAAATCAGTACTTCTAGCCTTGCAGATTTGAAGTTCAGGAACCAGAGGTATGAATGGATGAAACTAGGAATTCCAATTAAAAAATCAACAGTTTGGTGAAAGAGAACCTTTTAAAGCCAGATGTGAATATACTAATTTTAAGAATCGGAGAGTCACAGGATTGTTTATGTTAGAATCATAGAATGGTCTGGGTTGGAAGGGACCTTTAAAGATCATCTAGTGCCATCTAGAAGGGGTGTTTTGAGACTATCGAACCCAATCCCTGCTCAAGCAGGTCAGCTAGAGGACGGAGACTCCACAGCTTCTCTGCGGAACCTGCTCCAGTGTTTGACTACCCTGACAGTAAAAGAGTTTTTACATGTGTTCAGATGGAATTTCATGTGTTTTAATTTCTGTCCATTGCCACTAGTCCTGTCAATGTACAGTACTGAGAATTTGGCTCCTTTGTCTTCATGCTCCCCATATTTTTAAAGGAGAAATAAAGAAAATTAAAAAAAAAAAAAAACAGGTTTGCCATACTGTCTGAGTATATATTAAAGAAAGAATATTTTTGATATATAGAGGATCATTATAGACTAAAGTGGCTTACATGGTAATGTAAACTTTCTTTGAGTCTTTGTGGTAAGAAATTATATGTATTCCAAAACCACAGATCTTTAGCTCTAAACCCTCATTATTAATTAACAGGGAACACAGACATACTTTTGGATAGTGGTACTACGAAAAGCAATTATAAAGCCTTTAGAATCAGTAGCTTTACCATCATTTGACTATAAATTGTTCATTTTAAGGAGGAGCCAATCCTACCGTACGTTTCCACAGATACAAAGGTTGGTGAAGGACTACTAGTTTCCGAGGCCAATGTGTCAAAAGCAATAGTCTCCCTGTAGCCAAACTGTGAGAACAGTTACTGAGGTTCTGTTAGAGTTTTGCTTTTCTTTTGTTGCACTGCCTTTTCTAGTTATTTTTTAAAATAAACTCCAACTTTTAGCCAGCATTAAAAACCAATGCCATAAGTTTCCCCTTGTTTTTACTGAGTTCAATACATCTGAAATACTTGTGATAGATTATGAATAGTTGCCCTATGAGTGGAGTTTCTATTAATTTTTAGTATTGTGCCTGGCTGTAGTGTCCCACTCCTTTTAAAATATATAAAGTAGTTTTAAAGTATCATTTTTAAAATTGCATTTTGAAAACTAAGTTTACTTTAAAGGTAATAAAAAATAATCAATTTTGCATTGCAGAGGCTTCCTTGTGAAATATAACCTTATGACATTTTAATTAGGAAAATAGATCATGTAACTCCATAGGATGGAATAAATTTTCCTGGTACTGCTGCTTTGCTATACTGCATGTTCTTCTAAATTGGCATAAAAATGCATTAACACTTGTCTAAATTAGATCAGCCTTAAAAGTTGGAGGAGAAAAAGAAGAGGAATTAGTTGTCTTAAATTCATAGATCTTTTTGCCACTCTCTTAATCTGCAGAGAACCACTTTAAGCAGAAGTGATTTTGTAAGTTGAAAGAAAAATGGTTCTGTTAGGCAACTGTATGATTGTTACATTTGTGTTACAGGCAAGGGAGAAGATAGTGATGTCCTCAGCATAAATGCAGATGCATATGATAGTGACATAGAAGGCCCATGCAATGAAGAAGATGGCCCAGATGTGCAGGAAAACACTGTCAGAAGTGGAGCTGGTCAGATAGATGACCTTCAGAAGGACATTGAGAAAAGCGTGAATGAGATACTGGGGTTGGCAGAGTCCAGCCCAAAGGAGCCCAAAACAGCAACCTTAGCCGTTCCTCCGTCAGAAGATGTTCAGCCGTCAGCACAGCAGCTGGAGCTTCTGGAGCTCGAGATGAGGGCCAGAGCTATTAAGGCTCTGATGAAAGCTGGTGATCTAAAAAAACAGCCCTGATATTGTTTAGATTTAATTTTCAGTATTTGTTTTGAAGGATGCGATGTCTGTTCTCTTCAGTGCTAAAGCATATTCGGGTTGAGTATGACATTCTTCATTCAAACCCTATTGTGTATTGTGACCTGTGGCTTAAGCCATTGATAGTTGGTTTCATTGCCTTTAGTGTGCTGATACAATGACACGCACAGGGTGGTTTGATGCTTCACTGAGATCAGGTCTCTTTGCGCTGGGTTATCTCCTCAAGGAGTCACACAGTATATAGAGCTATGCCAGGAACCTGGTACCTTCCAGAAAGGTTAGGAGAATCAAGTTCTTTATAACCCCATGTAGAAATTACCAGCTATTTTACTTATTAGCAACTTGTTAAACTACTTGAGGAACTTGATTTATATGTACTTCATTAAAAATACAATTTTGAAGAGGTCTTTTGTTGTGTGACTGCTTTCAGCATTTTGTGATGGCATTTGAGATTTCTTATTTCTCCTTGGGGCCCGGCTCATCATAATGTACCTTTTCTAGTTAAAATGAATGATGATTCACTTAAAAGCATACTTAATTTTTAGAAAGTTGAATTCCTAAAGGAAGGGACTTTTTCCTTTCAAATAAACAGTTGAACTGTGTTCAGAGTTTTCAGTTATTTTCAGAGTTATGAAAGTGCCTGAAAGTGACAAATACCAGAGTTTTTGTACTGTTGGTCATTTAATTTTGTCACTCTGCTGTTTATCTTTGGTGTCATAACTGAAATAAAGAAAATAGAGTTTTTTCTTGACTATGAAGCTTTTTTGTTGAACATTTGGCATAATATGTAGGGCAATGCAGCAAATCAGACTATTTAGAAGACCTTGAGTTTTTAATATTTAACTGACTTACTCTTTTCATGTCTCCATAAATAGGAAAACCTAATTTCAGTCTAAATGTGCTTTTAGAAAAGTAATTCATTTTATTTATATCTACTATATAAGGCTTTAAAATCATAATTCTACTTTTATCCATTTCAAGGGTATTTCTTTGTAAGTAAATTGTATTATAGGATTAATATTCCTGCTATGATTTTTTAGAACAATTAAAATAATTCATATTTTGTTTAGAATTAGTGCTGGTTTTATACTTGGCTGCTAATCAAATGCATATTAAAATATTTCTGTGTGTGTTTTGTTTACACACACACACACAAATTGATTTTTTTTAAGGTATGAAGTTTTTGAATGTCATCCTTCTTAAGTAAAATGATGTATTATATATTGTTACTCCTGATTTTCCCTTGGTTGTTACTTAGAAACCAAATTAGATACTTTGCAACAGTAGCATAGATAATTTCCACATGCTATTTTGTAATATTACTGCAGACCTTGTTCCATTGAAATATTATGTCTTGAGTTCTCTTGCAAGGTTTTAATTTTCTTTTTTCTTCTTCCTTTTTTTTTCCTTTCCTTTTTTTTCTCTTTGTTCTCTTTTTTCCTTTTCTTTTTTTTCACCTTTTTTCCCCTTTCCTTTTAACCATTTTTCTACCCTTTTCCCTTTCTTTGTTGGTAGTCTTTAGTAGCAAGCTTCTTATGTATTTCTTAAAGTATGATGGGTTTCCTCTAGAATCAACAGTATTGTAAGTAAAATAGTAGGAAAATAGTGCAGTGTAAATTTGATTGTAAACTAAAACCTTCATTAAATACAGCTAAGAAAATTACAGTGTGCCTTCCCTAAATGATGGCAGTGACCTGAGTAAATTTCACCTGACTGTAGTCAGTTATCCACGGCAACAGCATTTTTCTATTATTTTTTAGCAAATGGAGGATGTAAGTTAGAATATGTATATCCAATTCAAAAGGCAACTTAACTGTCTCAGGATATGTGTCTGTTGTCTTCAGTTAATTTAATTTGGCTGTTTGGTGAACTTGTGATTTATTTGAGTACAGAGAAACAAAAGCAGGTAATGAGAGAAAGACAGTTGGCAAAACCTAGATGTGCTGTCTTGTTCTTTGTAAAGTCATAGGCTAGTGGAACTATGCTAGACTGTAAAAATAAGTTTTACTGCTGCTATACTTAGATCCTTAGGACACTGAATACCTCACTTTGCCTGCTGTGGAAATGAAAAATCTCACGTGCAAGGACATTTGCTTCCTAGTCCTACTGTGCAACCCCGTGTATCTGGACCAATAGGAAAACTTGTTCCTTATTGTTTGCCTCTCTTCTTTCACATCAAGGTTCATTTGCCAGTTCTACAATCTGCCGTAGCATTGATGAGGCTTACAAAAGCCCAAGCAGTATGAATAAACAAAAATCAGTCCTTAGTATTGAAGAATAATGTACAATACAGTAATAGCTGATTGATTGGACAAATGTTTCTAGACCTCTATTTTTCCTTTTTGACTGGTACTCTCAACACCTGCGGTTTTATCAGCCACAGAGGTGATTCCTTCCTGACTGCATACTCCTCTGTGGCTCCCATATATTTCTGCCAACTGCTGAACAGCAAAAGGCTACTTCACGCAGAAGCCGTGTCTTGGTAAGGCATAACTTAGGGTGTCTTAGGAAAGCTAAATGTAAATCAGGTTTAATTAGAAATATGTTTCCTACACCACCAGCAGACTGACACAGTCAAATGTACGAAGTCCATTCAGTGATGTCGCAGAATAATACGTTTGCAGTTGTTTGGCAGCAAGGAAATAGTGCTAGAAGTAACGATAAACTAGAATGTAGTTCTCTTCTACTACCTACTTGCTGGAGATATATGGCATTTATTTCTGAACTGAGCTTCATTTTCCTACTGGTTTTCCAGGTCACCTTTAAAAGTTCATTTTCTAGTGTGTTGAACTGTCAAAGGTTATTATTTCAAGGTCTGTATCAAGAAGTTGCATATGCTAACTTTAATATGTTGCGTGACAAAGATGAAAAAGGTTTACTATGCACATGACAGAGAAGATTTGTAATTACAGCCCAATTAAACTGGAAATTAAAAGAGGAGAAGAATTTGAAGAAAATTAAATTAAGCTGTTTACAAAAATAAAATAAAATATAGATATATCATAAGAGTAACTTCATGTGATTGATTATACCAGTGCTAATTCATTTTTAAGATATTGTACTATTGCTGCTCAGGTTAAAAACAGATCAGCTAAATTATATGGGTTCCTGCATTGATTCGTATCACTGCACAGTTAAAAAAATCCAGTGTATTTAAAATATTTATCATACAACTGTTTTGTTTTTATCACTTTTAAATATCTCTGATTTTTTTCTTGAAAAGTAAATTTAATATTTCACTTGGAGGAGGAGGCAATTTCTATGTAAAATGCAGTCATGAATTATTTATGAAACCTTAAAATAATTTTATTGGTTTTTGATAGACTACTTTGTTGGGAAAAAGTATTATACACTGGGTGGTGGTCAGCATGGGGAAAAAGATCCTCATTATATTCTGGACTGCAACAGAAATATGTTCTAATGAATTTTGGCTGTCCTTACAGATGAAGCATAGTGGTTTTTTGAGAAGGAGGGTTGATTGTGTTTGTATTAGGTAAATAAAAAGGCATGACTCCCCAGAGAGCCAAACGTATCTATTATTTCTATTTAGAGGCTTTGATGTTTTTATGTTGATTTCATAGAGAATAATAATTAGACTTCAAGATGCCACTTTTGAGAAACAAATCACAGGCATTTCCTCCGAAAAGAATTAGTTCTGTTTGTAACACTCTTGTCATTACAGTATTTGCTCTCAGAAAAATATTTTGCCTAAGATACTTAGTGCCTTGTGGAACTTTTTTTTAAGCTATGTTACAAAATATGTTCTTTGCTGTTTAAAATTACTGTAATTATTAATCACAGTGAATGGAAGTTTTGATCACTGACTTCAGGTTGTTTCTAAGTAGATATAAAGGTAGCATGTAGGGAATCAAATAATCTGTGTAGATGATTTAAGGTGCTGCTGTTCTAACTGGGTACAGTTGAAATGCCACATTAAGCATGAGCAGTATGGCACTGCATTGTGAATCTCGCCAAGTGAGGCAGCTGGATAGCATTCTCCTGCACCGTTGCCTGTATTTGAGGGAGCACGGTTTCACAAACAGCAGCCACAGTAGGGGAACCCTGTAATGGGACAAAACATCTCTTCACTATCTGATTCCTTAAACAGTCAGAGCTATATAGATCGTAAACGGTTGCTTGGTTATTACTATTATTTTTTAAATATTAGTCTACAAAAGTGCTTGTCTTCACTAAAGTTACTTCATATTCATCTGTGCATAGCTTTAAAGCGTCAAGGGTTTTCTAAAAAACAGCAACTGAAAAAAGGTTTTGTACACATGAATGCATGGTAAGTTGTATAGCATTTTACATGCCCATCTTAAGATTATAAGCACTGATTTATCTTTATGAGATCACTGACTATGGTAAACTTGCCATTTTCACAGAAGATAATTGAAGACTAATTGTGAAATAGGCCTTTTAGTCAGGAAGGGAGATGAGGTGGTTAATTGATGCAGAAACATAAAGAAGAACAGCATAACTTTAGAAACACAGGCACCAAATTAAAAACTGATTATGAAGTCCTGCAATTTAGTGCCAGTAATATAAACCTTCATGTTTATTGCTAAGTCAATCTGCAATATATGGAGAGAAAAAAATGTTTGTTTACCTTATTTATGGCCAAATTTGAATGTTAAAATACTGTGGGGTTTTTTGTCAAGTCTCATGTTTCATGGGCCTTTCTTGGCATTAATATTAAATTATGTAAACAGAATACATAAAAGATGAAGAAAAATCTGAAGCTTGTAAAAAGGTTCAGTCACATACCAGTTAATCAAACTGACTCTGTAGTCAGACAGGGAAAGACCCCAAAAGCATAAATGTAAATATTGCATCGTTATTATATTGCAGAGCACAAGTAATCATCTCTGTTAAAAAAAAAATGCATGTTCATTCAGTGCATCATAGCTTTCTTAAGCACGTGGAAAAATGTCATCTTTTTTCATGGGATCTGTCTTGATTATTGTCAGACTCAAAACTGAATTTTCGTCTTTTGTATTTAATGGTTCTGCAA